TATTTGTAAGAGAAAGCTGAAGATTTGGAGCTCACAAGCAGTAAATTGAATTTTCATTCAAGTGTGAAACTGCAAAAAGGTGCCAATTTGCAATGCAGTAGAATTCCCCAGTGAGGAATTTTGTTTCCCACAAGATGAACCAGAAGAAATATTCCTTAATAAATTTCTTGAGAACATATTTGATGCTCTTGAACATCTCTTTTCTCCTGGGATATGACCAGTATAGTGCAATCTAATTTCCCCTTTGAAATCCTGTGCATCAGTGTTTAAATCTGCTTATTTTTGGCAGTTTGTCTTTTTTCAGTCAGGAAGCCAGACTGGTCATGCTAAATTTCCTGTAAGGTGATCCTTTTTCCTTCCTCCTGTTCTCATCACTGACTTACAGCCTTAATAATCTAAGTATTTCCTGAAGCCTCATGTGAGGTGCTCTCATCTGCTGTTTGCCTGACACTGCTTAGATTTAATCTCTGTGCAAGGCAACAGATACTGGAAATATCTCTTAAAAACCAGTTTAAACTTTATGGAGTTTCTTGCTTTGTGTATGGTATTGTCTTTCCTGATGAAACTCATGTAGCCAGAGATTTTTTTATAGTGTGGAGTTTGATTGTTTTGTTTTCTCTTTAAAGATTCCTAACATTGCAAAGAAGCTGGAAGATTTTAAGAAGGATGTGGAAGCCAAGAAGAAACCTCCCAATGACAAGTCCTGAAAGAGAAATGTTCCCCAGGTCAACTCTGTGTGTGCAGCAAGGATGCAATTTTTACCTTTCAGGCAGCAAAGGTCAAGTAGAGGGTTGGCATGGGAGGTTGCTCCACTCTTAGTCTCCTAGAACTGGAATATCCTTTTGAAAGGGTGGCTGTGAACTTTTCCTGGGACTGATTTTCAAGGGTTTCAGAATTTGGATTTGCAACTGATGCGTGACTGGATGGTATCATTTGTATTTTTCAGTATTTCTTTTCCTAATATTTTGTAACCTGTTTTTACCTGATCCAACTGGAGTGCTTTTGGTCCTGTTACAATTGTAACCTCACACTTGATAATACCCTAGCTCTTAGAACAGCACAAAGGAAATTAAATGCATCAAGGAGTAACTTTGAGAGTTTCTTGTCATTTGTTGTGAGCAGTGGTTCTTCACTGTCCTTAAGTCACACACAAGCAAAGCAAAAAAAACAGCCATTAAAACCCCTAGTGTGTAAGAAAACTTATCCATTGTAGAGCTCTTGTCTTCTGTTTGAAACCATAATTCTGCAAAAATCCTGTTGTAAATCCTGAAAGAAAAATTGCAATGATTTGAATAGATGTCAATTTTATTAATTCAAGAATCTATCAAATAATTTTTTTCCCTTAAAATGGAAGCAGTCTATCAACTCTGTAACATGGCTTAAATGACTGAGTGCCCTTGACAGTTTTTTGCAGGACATGAAGAACACAGAAAAGTGTTTCTGTGGAAGATGTTCTTGCTCTTATTGAGAATGCCTGATGATGAAGGGCTGCAGACAAGCACAGAGAATGACCTCCATTTGTTCAGGCTCTAGATTAAAGCATACCTAGAGTGCTTCTCCATTAATGTTTTAATTAGGATGGGTATTGTGGCTTCAAAGTTGTTTGTCCTTTTACTATGTTTTCATTCTCATCATAGGAAAACCACATGGAGCACATGGTCAGCATTCCTCTCAGAAGAGACTAAATCAGAAGATGTGCTTTGATCTCTAATGGGTGTTTAGTCCATTAGACAGGTCTAGGGGCACTCAGAAGGAGAAGAACCCAAGCTCTGGACACTAATTGTTTTGCTTTGTCAGTGAAATGTGCTGTTTGATATAAACATAGCATCAAAGCTTTAAAGTACAGAACTCTGTGTACCCATTGTAATTTTCACTCTCTACCCCAAAGCCTTTAATTTTTGTTACATCTGAGTGACTCCCAAGTTCAGGAGTTCTCACTGGATCAGTAAAGACACATTTACAGAGTACCATACACCAAACGCATCCTTTGCCAAAGTTTGGTGGTGACAGAGTTCTTCCACAATGCATTCCTGAAACACAGGAAGGTATTCCTCATGCAAAGATTCTCCTCCTTAAGCAATATAAATATGTATAAGGAATATTTCACCTGTAATTTTAAATCCTTCCTTTCACCTCTGCCCTGAAATGTGTAGCTGACATAAAAGCTTTCAGTATTTGCAGAGAATTACTTGAGAAGTTTAAAAGCCAACTCAAGTCAGACAAACTTAGTAGTGATGCAGCCAATTTTCTCCACAGGAAACACTCCAAGAAACTGACAGGGAGAAATGGTTGTACCACCTGAACCCAGCTATCAGAAGCCCTGTGGTAGCAGCATGTGTGGAAGATACCCAGAGAGATTTCCATTGCCTTCAGACTTCAGACCTGACTGAAGGGATTTTCTTCCATGCCCAAAAGTGTTTCCCTAGAGTGATAGTGCTGCACAGCTGTTTTCATGAACATGATGAACTTAGGTTTCCCCCAACTTCCTGTCCCTCCCCTCCCTTTCCTATTCTTGAGCATTGAAAAATACTGTCTCTAACCCATTCATTTTTCTTTGCTTGTCATGTAAAATTTTATTAGTGTTTAAAATTGGATTATTTCCTTGCTCAAACATATTTTATGTTCTTCCCTTTCTTTACATGAGGATGAGAAGTGAGATAATGTTCAAAATCTCTGTATTTGTTGCCAAACAGGCCAGTTACTCTAAAAGTGTTTTTGGAGCTGACTCTTCAGCTAAGCATTCCAAGCAGATGTTAGAATTCTTTTTTTTTTATCCCTATCATATTAGTAAGTGAAAAGCTGCAGCTGTAGTACTGTGGAAACAATATCTGCTCATTAATATTAAAGACAAGATTTTTGAGGTGTTTCACACTATTGGCAACACTTTCCATTTTAGCTCAAGCTGGGTTTTTTCCTCCCACATAATAAACTGTAAATCTGCATAACATAACACAGCTGATGTGGACTTTGCAAATTCTGTATAACACATTTTACCTAGCTTGAGGTTCTCCTAGGTGATACTAAAATTTCACCTTACCTTTCAGAGGGCAGAGGGTGAGCATAGATAATGAGTGCTTGATGCAGGACTTGCATCTGGTGGCTCAGAATGCTTTGGATGCACTGGTGTCATAGCAGGGCACAGAAGATGGATCCTTCATGAAGTTACTTATGAGCAAGTTTCCCATTTAACATGGACTCTGTGAATGTCCCTTTCAAATGCCTATGTGGATAGCTAAAGTTGCCAGCTAAAATATGCAGGCTTCCTTCCTTTCCTAAAAACAGTTTTGTTTGTTTATTGATTGTTTTGAGACATATTCTGGAGCTGAAGGTTCAAGGCAAAATGGGAGGAAAGGAACTGACAGACTTCCAAAACATTTACTATGGGTTGAGAGTATTATCCTGTGTTGGAAAATGCTGCCCTAAGGCCCTTCTGCCATTAAACAGTCAAGGGTTAATAACCAAAATATAAACAAAAAGCCAGACAACAAAGCTCATTATTAGCTTATTGGGTACCAGAACCCAAATAAAGTTGGTGGATGCACCTCACAGAACTTCACTAACATGAATGTTCATTGGTTTTACATCCCAAACCCACAGCCCACTGCCTCATGCACCTACCTGGTGGGACATGGCAGTGACAAGTGCCAGCAGCTGTGAATGTGGAAGTGTGCCAAGAGCACCAAAACAGGAGAAACAGTCTGTTGGGGAAAGTCCTTACCTGAGTCCACTCCAAATGCCTCTGTACCAATCTTGTGAGATACAAGCTATGCCAGAGCCTCCTGGAAATGTATCTGAAGAAATATTGTTTGAGATGTGCAAGAGCTATTTCATTTGCCTCCTGCTATTGCTGTTCTTACTGAAGAGCATTGCTGGGCACCCTGTTTGATTTGTGAGTAATCCCAGGTCTCCCTAAGGCTGGCTGGAATGCCAGCTGCTGGTCTCTCACAAATAAGAATATCCGATGTTTGTATCCCCTGGGAAATCTCTGGGATAGCAAGGTGTGGTGGGAGCTGAGCAGAGCTGAGAAATCAGCATTAGGAAGGCAGAGAGTGATTTGTTGCTGAGCAGCAAAGCAATTGGAAGATGCTGGTGTATGAAGCATGAAGTGAAAAGGATTAGATGAGTGCAAGTGAAAGGTGCAAAGCAGCTAAAAAGCCCTGGGAAGAAATCAAGCCAGAAAATTTATTTCTGGCCCGGGGAGAATGATCAAAAGTAACTTTAGGCACTGTGAACAAAGAGAGGTTCTGCTTGCTGTGTGTAGGGACAACACTGTTGGCATTGCAAACATGCCCACTCACTGTAGTGCTTGTCCTGGAGGAAGTTGCCTCCATCTGCCAAATGCTGGTGAACAGACATTGCAGCCCCTTCCTCTCCTGCTCCTGGGGCTTCAGGATGGAGCTCCTGTCAGGAGAGCCCAGAGTGCCTCTGCCCTGAGCACCATTTTGGGGTCCGTGTTCAGAGCAGAATCCTGCTGGGGAACAGGGAAACACCCAGAGCAGAACGGATGAGGGGGCTCTCGATGGCATACCGAGGCTGCCCTGAGCTTTGTGTGCTGGAGTGCAGCAGAGCAGCAGGCTCAGGGTGAGGGGAACACAGGAACAGGTGAGCTGGGAGAAGAGTTGGAAAAGTGAGGCCAAGGTCTTGTTTTATGCATCAGGGATGGTTTAAGTGACTGATGCAGAGAAACACTTTGCTATTCAAAAAGAAATTTACAGGAACTACCAGGAATAGCAATTGTTTTGCTAAAGGATGCAGCTTCCTGCTTTTGGAACCATGGCTAAGACATGCTTTTTGTTTTTTTCCTGTATTTCTTTCTCACTTCTGCCAGCCTATGACCTTTTATTGTACCTGTTTATTTTCAAGATGAGTCTGTGGGATCCCTCTGTTTTGACAGACGCAGTAAACCAAAACCTCCTGCTGTCTCAACACTGCTTCTCTAAGGTTTTGGTGGGTTATGGGTGAAATATATCCAATTTGTATGCTCATGGAGCACCAGAATGTGCAGTAGTGAATAATTTATTTTATTGACATTTTATTTTTGCAGAATACATTCACATCTAGAGAGCCTAGATTAAAAGTGGAAAGCATAAAAATTCATTAAAGTGTATGTGTGATTACATGAGATTCAGTCATTATAATATACAGCTTAAATGTATTGACATTAAAGAAATTATTAAAAACTGGACATAATACACGAGAAGACTTAATGAGTGTCACAGAGATCCAGTGAGGAAAGCAGGGCATTCACTTTATTGATGAGAGATAAAGAGATTGGCCTTTTGGCTTAGTAGTTATTTACTTCATGCCACAGTTTCCTACATTTGAAGTTCCTGCTCTCTGGGCTGCTAGAGAGCAGGGGGTGTGAGATTCAAGTGAATGCACAGGATGGGGAGATACACCAGCACCACTCCACTTCAGCCCTCTCCCTTCTTACTCATGGAGCAGCACTGAGTGCCATCAGGAGTGAGACTTTCTCAGTCAGGGGAATCATAAGTGCATAATTAAACAGCAGCCAAAGAGACAGGAGAGTGATGGGGGCTGTTGGCCTGATATGGTTTTGCTGGTCACAGCTTCCCCTGCTGAAAGAGCTCCCACTGCAGTAATGATGAAGAAGGTCTTGAACAAAACTTTCTGTTCCTGAAACTCTTCCTTCCAAAGCTGAGACTACAAGTACTGCAATGTTAGAAATTTATACTAGTGCTGTGTGGGGAAAAAAACCCCATATTCTCCTTCCAAGGAGATTTCTCCTTCCTCTCTGGAGGTTTCTATTATCCCTTTGAAGTGCTGTAGCTGGTAGTTGGTAGCTGGATTTCTGTCCAGGTCATACGAGTTAGGTGGAAAAATGGTTTTTGCAAAACAGTGATAAGTCACCTCAAAAAACCAAGAATAATTTGCCTTCAAAAGAAGTAGGCTTATAAAACTCCTCTGGATTTGAGAATAAGGCTCAGCCTACATTCAGTGTAGGAGTCAATAGTAGGACTGAATCTGCTGCTGCTGAGTATAGCAGTGTCTGTGTACTTGTCTTCTTCCACTGGAGTCCTGCATACAAGTCCTGCATAACTGCTCTAAGGCATGAAAAAGCTATAGGGAAATAACTTCTGAGCTATAGGGAAATTTTTTCTGAGTTATGGTATCCCAGAGAAAGCAACAATAGAGCAAAGCTAATCTCTCCTTTTAACTCACACTGATTTTCAGAACGGAAAAGCTGTTGCAGAAGACCTCCCAGTGGATTTTCTTCATGGTTTTACAATGGATCCTGGTTCAAGCTTCCTTCTTTCTTTCATAAGTGAAATGTGCATTCAATATTTTGTCCTAACTTGCTTTGGTCTTGCACTTTTGCTCTTTTTTTCATTGAAGATTATGTTTGGCTTGTGATGTTGCTGGCTGCTGCCCATTCTGGAAAGGTGTTCAGCTGGAAGAGCCTAATTCCCCATGTGTTGATGGCCACCATGACAATAGCCAGGCCAATCAGATTTACACCCAGGCCAGCTTTCACCTGCAAAAGCAAAAAGCAAAACAGAGCAACTTAATGAAAAAATGGGGTTTTTTAACAAAGGAAAGAAAAGCAGTTTGTACAATTTATACTGACTCATATATAGTGTGATAATTTATGTGTAGTGATTTCTAGAGCAAAAAAAAAAGCATAAATGAGAGCATATGTGTCAGGGTATATGTTGGAGTATTCAGGAATGAATATTCAGGTTAGAGACTGATGCAGTTCATTGTGAACTCCTCTGTCACTTGGACTTCTCAATCAGATAATCAGAATGGGGAGTTAAGCCACGCATAACAGAGTGATACACGACTTGCTGTGGAGCTATGTGATAAATCTAATTTCTTATGCTCTCTTGTGCTTGTCTTAGTAGGCCAGTGCAAAAAAGATTCCATACTCCTAAATCTCTTTAGATCATTACATTCATAAAAAAAATACAAATAAGAAATATGTGCATCCTACAGATCTGTGTTCTTAACCTGACAGCTCTATTGTGTAAGAGCAGTTCAGATATCACTACTTAATATTAGCAGCAATATTATTATTATTATTATTATTATTATTATTATTATTATTATTATTATTATTATTATTATTATTATTATTATTATTATTATTATTATTATTTGCTTGATGTGGGAGGATACAGCCAGTGCCAAGACTCACCATATCTTTGATCTGGCAGTGCCCATAGCTGAAGACAATGGCATTTGGAGGGTTACCCACGGGCAGCATCACCGCAAATGAGATGCACATGGTGACAGGAATCAGGGTGTATAAAGGGTTGATAAGCAGGGTTTCTGACTGGAAGAACAGAGGGAGAGAAGTGTTTCACCTGATCAATAAAAGTCACAGCTGATAATGGCTATGAAAGGACCCTCTCTGCTGTGAATCACACCTGCCTAATTTCTAAACTTAAGCGTGAAAGTATTTTTTGGTTGGTTGGGTTTTTTTAGAGCAATGCCATAATTTTGAGCTGGTCATGCTCCAGGAATCTCTCTTGAGACATTTCACACTGAGGGAGGGTGGAGCTTGCTACTATTAGGACACATTTGCTCTTTCTCCCTCTTTTTCTCTGTGACATTCTGTTTAACACTGCTGCTTCAGTCTTTATCCACGAGAAGTCACAACAGGGTAGCACAAAGAACTTGCTTCTTCTAGTTGCTGAATATGCTGAGACCGTTATGTGATGTCCTCCTGAATACTGGTTAGGAGAACCAGGTGTTCATGGTCCAAATTTGCATGGTGAGAAGGCAGAGCTGATGGAATATATTTTACAGTGGGCTAAAGAATGAAGTTTTCAGTGGTGGTGAAATTTTCCATTTTCATATGCATTGCTTTGGCCCAGTTTTATATGAGAGGGAAAGGCAATGATAAACAAGGCTGCAATCATTTGGGGGAGGGAAGTGTCTGAAGGTTAATTTTGCAATCTGAAAAGAGAGTCTGCCTTAAGATGGCAGTTCACACTACAAGTAGATTACTGCTCTAAATATTTTTCAGGAGAATCTCTTTCTGCACAGAGCAGAAGCAAATCTGAACTCCTAACCACAGAAACACAATTGCATCTTGTGATCTGACCACATCTTAATATTAACTCAGAACTGTTCACATAATATGCTTTGGGACAATCCCATAAAATAGATATAATGGGGAAAGACGATTGATGACCTCCATTCTTGGACAGAAAAGTTTCACATTATATTAAAAAGAAAAGGAAATTTTCTGTAACTGCTATTCCAACATAAAATAGTTTTACTCTCTCTTTCTTCTACCTTTGTCAATAGCATCCTGATTTTTTTCTGCCCCTTACAAACATCTCTGCTTTCCATGGTGGAAGACAGTATGCTTTACCAGATCAACCCCTTGAACACTTCTAAATCTGGAATAAAATTCAGCACTCCGTTCTTTTCTCACAAGTAGGGAGCAGGTGACTTCTAAGTAATGAACAACACATTTAAAATAACACTAACAAAAGCATTTCAAGCTTAATGTGAAATTCAACTAATTTGTTAATTCCATAATCACCTTTTCTTGTACCTGGCATATGAATCCTCAGTGCTTTTTGTCTGAGAAGTATTATAAATTCCATGATGCTAAAATATTCTTTTGGCTGCTCAATTATGGTTTTTTCCTAGTTTCAAGACTACAGAACAGAAGCTTGGGAACTGAGGGTGAGTTTCATGTGGACAGAGTGCCAAGACCCTGACATCCTGAAAAATTCCCACAAGCCTGTGAGGAAGCAACAGACTAAAAATGTCACTGGTTTAACTCACCATGCTGCATAAAATAGGCAGAAAGATGGTTATGGTTGCTGGATTACTAACAAATTCTGTTACCATGGACACCAAAATGCAAGCCAGCAGAGTTACAGCCCAGGAGGGAAGGCTGCTCAGGGAGAGCATCTGACGTCCAATCCATGTAGAGAGACCAGAGGTCTGGGGAAAGGACAGAAGCGCAAGAATGTTTGTCAAACAGATTCTTCTTTCTGTGGCAGTTTACATCAGAGAATCCCGCCAGCAAATAAACAAAGTTCAGGTCAATGCTTTCTGCATTTCCTTTTGCTCAGTAAACTAGATTTCACTGCAGTGAAAGACATATATTGAGTGCAGGCAGTGCTGCCTACTGCATTATGTACAAACTTTAAAGTATCCACATCATAAATCCAAATTGGGAAGCATGCAAAGGAATAAAAGAGCAAGTTGATAATATGTTTAGGAAGGAGGAATAAAAAAAATCTACACCAGTACCTTGCATCCAGCTGCTAATGCATAACCTCCACCAACCAACACTACAATCTCCCAGGGCATGGTCTTCTGAAAGTCCTTCCAGGTAATGATGGGCTCCAGTGTGGTAATTTCTGGTGACTTTTCACCATCTCCTATATGAAATAAAGTGTGTGACCAGTATTATACTACCCTTTTAGCAAAGACCTTCACATTTTTCACAAGAATAGAAATGATTGAAGATGCATGGGACTACCTGAGAGAGAGGCAAAGAGGCAGTGCATAGGCTTTTTCTCTGGATAGCCTGGCCTCACAAAATGCAGCATATCAATTCCAAGCATCCTGACTTTCCCTTGGCTGCAGTGTTAGTGTAAATAGTTGTAAACCCCTGTGTTCTCATGTTACAGCTTTTTGAGGGACTGTGTGCTGTGTTGTGATATGCATGTGCATGTATCTGTAGAGCACAGAGATGGTGTTACAATGGGATTATATTATCAAAGAAGGGCTATGAAGTAGGTCATGATGCTTGATAAAGTGCATTTAGGCCCCTAGATTTTTTCTGAGGACATTAGGGGTTTTTTTTCAGTACCTGAATATTTTCTTAAAGGAGGAGTTAGAGTGTCATATTTTCCTAAAACCTGTACAATATATGACAGCATAAAAATATATGTTTCTATAATCTTTACATAAGAATGTGCAGACAATTCTACTTTCATACAGCACTGCTGAAATATATCAGCAAACTGATCAAACCACTGAGTGCTACCCAAACAGAAATGTGAAATAATCTCATTATCAAGAAGACTATGAGAGAAGCATTGCACAAAATTGAAACGTTGTCTGGCACTATGACCTGTTTTATGTTTATCTTAAGACATTACAGTGATTTCCATTGTATAAGTGATGAGTAATTTTTTTGCTGGGGCTTATCTTGAGCTGATTTTGCATTCCAAAATAGAGAACTCCATCTAAACCTTTCCCAAAGCTCAGTCCTGAAGTCTAATAACTGCTAGCACAGAAGAGGTGTCAGTCTCAGATTGAAGTTTGTCATCTTCTGGAGGAGACAATTTGAATTACAGCAAAGGAAAAGGGGGTCTAATGTAAGTAGGGCTGGTATTCTTGACTTGCCAACATAAAAGTATCTTCTTGGAACTTTTTACAGACAAAAAAAAAACCCAAAAAATCATTAGACATTGAAAAATGTACCCTTTCTCTTTCTTACTGCCTTCTCCTCACCTTTTCTCCTTTTTCCAAAACATGGCTTTTTTGCTGGAATCAGGAAAAGGAGAAACCCAAGAAATACAGAGACAGTAGCATCAGTCCGGTAACCTTTCCTAGGAAAAAAAATAGCAACTTTTCATAAAAACAGAAACATTTCCAAACTAGGTACATAGCTCCAAGAACATTTCTGCAGGTGCAGTTGTATTCCCACATCTGAAGTCATACTAACAGCCTACTAGAAAAATATGCCTGCTTATCAAGGGTACAAATTGGATTTTTTCCCATTTATTAAACTGAATCTGGTACGCAACTTCAATCACAGCTCAACAATTTTCAATATTCTGGTTGAAAAACAAATAATCCCTTTTGGTTTACAAATCTATTAACTTGGAGGTACAAAAAATACTGTGTTTACTGTAGTGTAAGAAACAGTAAACACATTCTGGGGAAAAGCCAAACCCAGGTGATCCTTTAGAAATGAACTGTAGATTGATTTTAAATTAAATGTTTAAAAGGCTTTCTGTAAAAGTATTCTGAGGAGTACCAAACTCCAGTGATCATCAGAAAATCACACTATTAGAAATTGTTTTTCTGTCAAAATTGGAATGGAAAGTTAAAGTAATTTTATACAGTAGCAAGATAAAGAAAACTTACATGCAAATCACTTTTCTTTGATGTGCATAGTGTGTTATAGTAAGATTTAGTATAACTTGTTTCAATATTATTTAAAATAAAAGAAAAATTATTTGCTTATTTGTTTTAGTCACCATTCTCAGCAATATTTAATTGAATGGACATTTTCTTGATAAAACACTTTTTGTCAAAAAAATTAATTTTAATTATAGTTGCAATATATTATAGTGAAAACTTCTTTATGAATGCACTAAAATGTTTTAACCTCAAAATCTGACCCTCCTATTCTTTTACATTTGAAATGGTTTAATTTACTTTCTCTACTTAACATACTTTGAATACTGAGAAAGAATGGAATTTTTCACTATAGAAAAATACATAATTTAAGAAAAAAAATCCTAATTTTTGAATAAAGACTCCATTTTCTCTGCTTCATTAAATGTGTCTGATGATGTCTTAGGGGGAAAAAATTGTAGAAAGTCAAAAGAAGCAAAGTTGTATTCCTGTGCAGTAGTTATGGGGATTTTACTCACTTCTCAAAAAAAGATGACCATCCTGGCACAAAGCCAGGCTCACGAGTGAACCAGAGCAAGGTCATCAGGATGAAGAAGAATCCGGTCACCATCTCGGGGTAGCTAGAAATAAAAAACAGAGAAAGCAAGGAAGTAATTCCAGGTCTGTCTGAAAACTCCAGAAGATATAAGAAAGTAGAAACTGGTTTTAAAAAAGGATAAAAAATATATGAAAAATAGCAAGGGAGATTAGTTTGAATGAAAGAATTCTAGATTTGGCTCCCAGCTGGGAACCATCTAAACCCTGTAAGAAATAGTCTAAAAATATCCGTCTGTATTTGCAATGCTATCATTCATGGGCAAGACCTGAAGGAAAATATTTCTAAATGCTCGTTGTGTATTTGCATTATTATCTGATTAAATGTGTTAACAAGGTGAAGTTCATATTAGCATTCCACTGGAAACACATTCTCCTGCATTTTTTAGAAGGATAGAAAGCCTAAGAGCAAATGACAATGTAAATTAGCACAGATGGTGCACACAAGGTGACTTGAGGATACTTGAGGTGGCTTGAGGATTTTTAATTTAGCATAGATTTACATTAAGAGTGATTTCATATTTAGTCACAGCCTGAACAACAGTTTAGTTTCAGAGTTTATCGTATTCAGGCAGTTGATCTGTCAATATTTCAGTTAAACGGCACAAAAATGTTTTTGTAAAGAAGGAATTCTATGCCATATCAGCCCTTTGAAAATGAAAATGTTGCCAAATAATCTTTTCAAGATACATTTCTTGCCATTGTGCATAAATATTATGGGCAACTGAGAAAGCTGGATGACCCATGGCATAGGAAAAAGCCTTTTTAGAACTTATATCCACTAAAATAAGTATGTGCATGAATTAGGAGAAGGGATCCTTTAGAATTCAAAGACAAACCTGGACTCAGATGACCTTTGAACTCTGGAATAAACTTGAAGGTTTCCTTTCTTTTCCATTTTTCCTCAGAAATAAATGAGTTGCATGTTAGCACTCATGCTTGTAACAAAGTCTTTGATTTTAGTTCATTTTTGCATTTTAATCTATTTCCATACTGGAGGGGAGGAAAAAGAGCTGAGAATTTTAGAATAAGCTACAAGAGCCCAAGGCAACATGGAGAGAATAGGAGACAATGAGAGACAAATGCCCAAGGAAGGCAGGTCTGGTTTACCTAACATTTCCCAGTTTCTTGTATTCCTCTTGAATTCTTCTTTCTGACATTTCTTCCCGTTTGGTCTTCTTTTTCTTGCTCACAGAGCAAGTCTCTTTAAAACTGAGACAGAATGAGAAAATTAGGCAAGAGCATAAAGAGGGAGGGAAGAAGTAATTAAAAAAATCTCCAGCAATGGGGTAGACTGAAAATTCTGGTATCAGGGGCTGTTGGGAGAAGATGTGACTGAGGCAAGGCCTGATGGCAGCCGAAAAGGAAATTACTGTGCATGCTATTTGATTAATCTGATTTCAAGTTCTTTTAAGATTCAACTCTAGACATAGTTGGAAGGTTCCCAGGGTGCTCTGACTAGTGCTGATTGGTATCACTGAGCCATCTTGAGCCATGGCTGGGCTCCCTCTGCGTAGGCTTCCTCAAGGAGCTGCCAGAAACCTCCCAAAGCTACAGCTAGTGTCTATCGTCACGTGGAGAGATTGTGACAGAGGTCAGCTATCAATAGAAGTTTTTCATGGCCTAACTATGCTTTCCTGGGTTATCCAACATATTTGGGGTCTGCTCTGGCTTTTGAGACCATGTTTGCCTTGAGTAGTCAGGATTCATAATGAGGGAAAGCTGTGCTTGGGATCCCATTAGCCTGCCACGACCTGTCTGCTTCTGCTTATACTGTCATAGTAACATTTGTTTATAAATCAGGCACAGCCAGAAAAGCACCACAGAGGCCAGGGGAGTCACCCCGGTGTTTTGCCCAGGTGAAAAATTCCTGTACTTCTGCCAGGGACATGAAAACACATTTCCTAGCTGGATATATAGAGCCTCCTATACACTTGTATGGATGTTAAGTGAATCCCTTAGTTTATTCAGTTTTCCTTCATTCTGTAAGAAAGCATGGACATTCTTAATTGAAATTAAGATGCTTTCAAGCTCATTTGAACCCTCTCCTTTTCTTCTTTCCAGAAGTGTTACCTAGCTGTGCTTTGAGCCACAGATCCCTCCTTTTTCCCTCCAGCTGTACCCTCTGTCACACAGAGGTGTAACAGGGTCTAAGCCAGTCTAAAAGAGGCAGCAGCAGTGACTCAGGCACCATAGAAGCACAACTTTTATGGCTCTTTAAGGTGATAATAGATGCTTTTATGGTCCTTGCTATTTTAATTTCTCATTGAGTACCTCATTAGGCACCAAGCTGTAGCACTGACCAAACCATGGACTGCAATCTCCCTCAATGTATCTGCTTAAGGCCAGATCCTCAAATTCCTTTGCATTGCTCAAGATCCAGACAGGCCCTGTCTAGTCAACAGAAGGGCTTAACCAGGGCTTGCATTTCACATGTAATATGAAATATGTAACACAATTTTTTAGCTCACATAGCATTGCTCTTCATCTATAGGTATTTTAAATTTCCTTGCAAATCTTGCTGTTAAACTTTAGTAAAATCTACCAGCAGGGAGAGACGAGGCTGGAAGAACCCTCCAGGCTGGAAGAGAAGAGCTCTATGGTTTATAAAGGACAGTTCTGTAGTAACTTCCACCCTTAGCTCTTCTCTGCTGGCGATTATCCTTTGATGAGTCCACCCTTGACCTGGTCTAGGGCCCTAAAGTCTGGAATGCTGTTCCAGCTAAGCCAGGCAATAACACATTGATAGCACAGGGCTTCCTAGGAAAATAACATTATGGGAATTCATTAAACATTTATGAAAAAGCATTAGGCAGCTGTTTCAACAGGTTCCAAGTGTTTCCAGGCTCAGGGGGATGTGAAGGCAGAGAATTGAAGCCCAGCTCCCAGCATAATATATTCTTTAATGAAGTGCAGTGAATAAAGTCAGAGATTAAGGAGCCTTGGAATCAACTACTTCTCAAGAAGTCAATAATGCTTCAGTCCCTGGTATTATTTAGAAAAACATTAATCAGCATGAAGTCTTGGATGCAATGTGGAATTTCAATTTTTGTTTTAAAACCAAATTTATTGAGGGTCATGTTAGGACCTGTTTCTCCTCAAGATTAAAAGAAAAAAGTGGCAGAGGGAATTTATATTAGCCTTTTAATTTGGAGCTATAAGACTCCGAGGCTGACTAAGAGGGGCATGGAGCCATTCACCTCTAAATTACTTCTTCAAATCTAGTCAAGGTCAGCAGCAAGCAGAACTCATTATCAATTTATTCATTGTCCTGGGTGAAATAGTGATGTCAATTCAGTTTACTTTTAAGAGTGAACTAAATCAAATTAAGGCAAATTTAATTCAGAGTAAATGTGTCTGCATCACAATTCAATGCAGATTAACAAATCCATTCTAAATGCACGCATTTGGCAGTTTTCATTAACTTTGTAAAGACAATATGTGGTACAAATGACCTAGAAGACTGAAACTTTTTCTTATTTTGGGGCTTAGGGACTGGTATTAAATGTATTTGTCTCTTAGGCTGTGAGTTCCTTCCACTTTAAAGAGAAATATATATGGAGTCTATTTACCTTTAATTTTAATTGGTTTTATGTTAATTTCATTGAGATGGAGGCAGATCTGAAAAGTAACTTTTTCACTTGCAGTTTTTTTTTTCTATTAATCTTTTAAACTGTGCTTTTCCAAAAGGACTTATAACAATATATTTGAGCCATGAGGGAATCGTGGCTCAAAATTGTCATAAGAGTGAAAAAAACCCCATATCAGTTGAATGCTTAGTATGGATTTCTGTCAGCAATACCTGGGCACTTCAATCTCAAGTAGCAACACTCTGCACTGCTGTCAGTGCAGGGCAGTTAAGTGAGATTTCCTCTAGTAATTTTTCTGGCAACAAGAAGGAAATTGTGCTTTAAATTCTATTTCCCAGTCAAAACTTCTTTATGAGACACATTTGAGAGGAGCTGCAGATGCCCTGCTTTTGTAATCTGTGTATCTTGAACAACTTTCACTCACTTGCAGCCCAAGAACAGCCAGTGCAGCCAGAACCAAGTCAGCACCAACATGATGAGGGAGATAGGGAAACTGAACAGAAACCAGGTTCCAAAATTCACCACTTCAGCTTTTGGGTACTGGCTGTAAATTAGAAAAGAGGATGCATGAGAAGTTAGAACAGTACAGGGAGAGGAAACTCTAACAGACATAACTGCAAACACATCTATGGGCATATTTTTCTGTCATGGGGTGAGAGAAAAGTTCCATCAGTTTGCATTTAAAAACAGCTGCATTACCTGTGCAGAGTGAAACCAACAGACAAACAGTGCAGCTCTCCAAACTTTTAATAACAGATGGTCTGGATTGTCTGGCCAGCTTCACAAACACTTGGAGATACCTGAAGTGAAACTGCATCCCTGCCTGTGGTTTATATTAAAGCTTCTTTTAGGGTTGGCAGTCTTCAGAATGATTTCACCAGAACCTCTTTCTATGTTTTCTTATGGGCCACACAAATATTGACTGCATTCTGCTGTGCTCTGACAAAGATGCTGGATGTGTGCATTTGGTGAAACTGTCATAGATCTTGGAAAATTCTGTAAAATCCAAATTTTAAACATGGATTAAACATGACTTCTGAACTTGGTCTTCCATGATACCACCATTTAAGAGAGAGAAATGAGAGATATCAAGGCAGTAGTGGTAGCAGTAGATGGTCAGAATCAGATCTGAGCTTGGATGTGTTTCTGTGCATGAGAGTTGCCACCAGTCTCCTGACAGAAAAACATTCCTGTTTCTGACATTGAAACATTCATGCCTTTGAGAGCCCTGGGCCTATGATAAAGGAAATACTTAGGTGAGAGAGCTGCTTCTCATCTTCTCTGAAGCAAATGCATAAGGCCACATATCTAAGTTGGTTGGTTGGGGTTTTTTGCATTACATGTTGAGCAGCTGTTTTTATGACTTTCCTTCTTTTGTGAGTATTTCTTTGTCTTCTTTGCTCTATCTTCATAGCTTTAGTGTTTACTTTTCTAGAGTGCCTGCTGCTTTTCATGAAAACCACTATGTCAAATCAAAAGAAGTTCCTGGAGAAACTTCAGTGTTACCACACTGAGGAGTTTTTACTTTGCACGAGAGAAAGACACGGCTACGCAGCAACCTTCAAACATTAACCATTGGTAATAACATTAGAGTAGAGGAAGAAGCAAATTTTCCTTGAGGTAGGAAGTGACCCACAAGGATGATGATGACTCTCACCAAACCCCAGTGCCACTTACTTGTTGAAGTGCTCGAGGAAGATGAGGCTGGTGGAGGTGCCGATGATGGTGGTCAGCCCGCCGATGGTGGCTGCGTAGGAGATGCTCAGCGAGAGGCATTTGCACACCATGTGGTCGTGCCTGCTCTGGTACCTGCTGCTCAGCTCCGAGGGCTCAGGGGGCAGCACCAGGATCTGAGCCTGTGGGGGGACACAGCCACAAGCAGAGCAGGTGATCAGAACAGCAGCCCAGCTTGCTCTAACGCCAGAGTGACACGGTGTTGCCGCATTTCTCTTCACAGAGAAAAGCAAGCACAATTCTTCCCAAGGATCTCTGAGATTCACATTCTCTGAACCTCAGAGAATGAAAACACAATTCTTATCACTTGTTGTGCCTGTGTTGTGCCAATGTAGAATGCAATATGGAGATTGTTTATCCAAAGTGAGAATGTTTTGTTTCCTTGTGTGTCAGGACTGTCACTCCACATTCAGTGCAATGTGTGCAGTTGTGTGCAGAGTTGAGTGCTTGGCAGGTTCAGTTTAGATGAAATATATATAGTATAGTATAATAAAGTAATTAATTAGCCTTCTGATATCCATGGAATCAGATGCAACATTCTCCCTCCCCTTTGTCAGAGTCGCCTTTGATTTGCTATAATATGGGTCCCAGAGAAGCAACAGGTTTTAGAGGTTTTTCTTCACAGGGATTAACTGGGATCAGTCCTGGAAACTTGTCGCAGGGCCTAAAATGGCCTGATCTGTGACAAAAATGTAGCACAAGCAGTAATCAGGCTTCTGGCTAAGGTTTGGGCCCACTCCAGGAATGACTGGGATATCAGTGGGATACCAAAATCCTTTGAGGGTTACAGGGGCGGGATTCCAGCACTGAGCAGAAAGAATCCATAATCCTTGAGGCTTAGGAGCAGCCACCACACAAAGGCTTGGTGAACTTTTCACACTTAAACGAGCTCAGGGCCTCTAATTAGGGATGGAGTGCTGGGGATCTCAAAATGGAATGGAAAAGGCTGAGCAATGAGAATATGGAAGGAAAAGATGCCAGAAAATTTTGCTCCAAAAGAAGCTTTCATATCAGTGACAGGAAAATGTCTATGTTGGTAGATCAAGTCCTTATACTGGGAAAAAAGATAGAATGAGGAAAAAGATAGCAAGTGGTTCAGAAATGTTTGTTACATTTACTAACTTTTGTTTTGATTTATTTTTGAACTGTGAACACAAATTCATGTGTTGATTTTAGCCTATTTTTTCATGCCCACAAACTTATGCCAAAATTGTCATCCAAACAGCAATTTCTTCTTGGATCCACTCAAGAGAAGTAGAAATACTGCAATGAATTGATTTAATGGAGGATTTTGAGGCTGGATATTTTGGAAGACAAAAAGGAAGTGGATACTAAGAGTACCCAACAAAGTGGATGAACAGATTAATGGTCTGCTTTTTTCATTCTGAGTAGGGTTTTTTGTGCCAGAGGCTGTTATTTTTGAGTTGGGCTATTTTCCAAGGAGGATTTGCAGAAACAAAGTGGCTATTACCATCAAATAATAAAGGAAACTCATGATCACATTGCTGTATGTAAAGCTAAATGAATTGTGCCAGCCATTGGGGAAGGGTCTTGTGAACAAACCTGTGATGGGTGCATCTAAATGGGAGCAAGAACTGGCAAAGGGCCAAGCTGGGGCTGTGCTGAGGTGATGGAGAATGATTCCTTTCAAGGAAACATTAGGGAGCAGGTGATGTTCACACCTGATTTTTGCCTCACCCCCAGGTCTAACATTTCCTTACCTGAGGCAGGTGCTGCCCATTGCTGGTGGAATTCATTGTTCCAATAGGGTTGGCTATCATGTGCACACCATTCATAGTCTGCAAGGAGGAAAATGCCTTTGGATTAGCCTTTCTTGTGTTCCATGGGGCACTTGTGAATTTGTGATGCTTTGTAAAGGTGACTGGGAGGCAGGCTTTGGGGGCAAAAAAGGAAAACGTAAAAAAGTTTCCAAAACTACAAGAAAATTCAATGCACTAAAATCAACTGTTAATTTTAAATTGGAGAAAAAAAAATAAACTCCCAGCTTTTTTAAATTTTTAAGTGATTTTAAAGTCAAATTATAATGAGATTAGGTCTTCCTCTGGCCTGTCTGAGACTCTAACAGGTCCCTTGAGCCTGTGACTTTGGGATGTGTACAAGCTGCTGCAGCAACTTGAGAGTTCTCAGCTTCAGAATCCGGCAATACTCAACAATATATGGAACAACAAAAGATCATATCTGGATTTGGTAGAAACCATTTGGAATTGTTGGTTCTCTGACTGGATCTCCAGATCTCCAGCAAGGAGTACAACAGGCTTCTATTGTTTTGTAATTCTCTTTTTGCTGCTTTGGAGCTAATGTTCCCCAATTGATTTATGCAAGCAAACTGACAGATTAAATACAAAGCAGGACATTCTGCAGTACCTAATATTTGCCAACAACCACCACACATTTGAAATAAAGGGACCAGCAGGTTTTTTTCAGAGCTGTGTGCATTTTGATCTGCTGGTTCCTGCACTAGATGACAAGGTAACACAGAAGATACCACCTATGACAATACCTTTGAGTGCACCAAGGAGCTCAAGTCAGTAGTAGAAGCACTAGAAACAAAGAAAGGAAAATATGCTTTAAAAATGTCTGTTCATTCAGCTTCTTCAAGAGGCACACATCATGGGTAGGATGGGAGAACTAGTGCCTACTGAAATGCTGAATAACACTTATTAGAACCTCTTATGTGGGTTCTTGGCCAAAAAGTAAGTCATTATTACGTTTCATAGCTCAATCTCTAGCTGTGTAACAGTGGAGTTCCACCTCTATGCAACAAAAAAATTGTTTCTTGGTATCATTTACCCCATTCTAGGAGAGGACCCCATTCGCTGTGGAGTGGAATGGATCACCAGGCAATCCAGCACCACTGCTGTCTGTTCTAGTCAAGTTCTTCCTCTGCCAACTTTTCCAATGCTGTTTCTGACTCCCCACCTGTACCACATTAAAGCCTTCCCTAAAACCTGCCCTGTGTGGCATGTGGATCATGCAAACAATCCACTGAACTTACTTCCAGAAAATGTGCTACTTTTCCTGCCAAATTCAAAGCTCTTTTTCAAGTAATCCTATTTTAATAATAGTTCTGTTTGAAATATCCCACACATACTCTTCAACGGGGGTTAAAGGGATTAATGGCACAATGCCAATCTGAAGATTTGATACTATATTGCATAGAAAATATGGCTGGGGTAAAAAGAGATAACAGAGGGAATATTGGAGAACCCAAATAGTCTCTATACTAATGAGAAAACTATTTAGATTTTGACAGTTAACCTTAAGTCATCAATCTGTACTGTTTGAAAGTTTTAAAGCAAATTAAAATTTAAATTAAAAGAAACTTGTTTCTCTTTTGCTTTGAGCAGTTGCGAACAATGCAGGAGGAGCTCAAAAAGGGACTGTACAAATTTGTTCTCACACTTCATAAGATGCTCCTCAGAATTGGCCTATAATAAATTTTTAGAACATTGGCTTTGTATACTGTCTTGTATATCTTGAACTGATGCTTAATTAGATCTTTTGACAAAGAAATTATTCCTGTACTTGATTTACCCTTTCCCCTTACTAGATTCTTCCCCAAACAGAAACTGCTGGTGTTTGAAAACTGTGAAGAAATTAATCTATATTTAAAGAGATCTTCTGCAAATTTTGTAGGGGAGGAGGGGTGGTTTTTTGTGGGTTCTCCCTCCCCCCATGTTCCCCTGCCCTCCACTCCCATCTCTCTTGAATGCAGGCAGTTCAGGCTTCCTCCAGGAATGCTCTGTAAGTGATGTCCCTCTGGATATGTCCTGTGGGCAGTTTGTGCTGTACTTGGATCCTCTTCATCACTGTTCCTTCAGGGGAACAGAATAAAAACCTGTGGACAGCCCTTTCTTACACAGCACAAACACAGTTTCCAAAGAGCTTTCAAACCCCTAGAAATATTTTCCTTCTCCCTAAAATATCCATAGTGTTAAAAAATAAATGAATACTGCAAAGTTTTAGTGAGATCCAGAGCATTGCATTAACCCCATTTATCATGTAAGCCTTCCTTGTCAGTCACATGTGACACATTCACTTGTAAGGTTCTGCTTGCCCTTCCTGGCTCTGCTCCTGGGTTCATCTCATTGCAACCTGTGCAGGGCTCAAATGTCCAGTCCTGGTGTACAGGGGTCATTCTTACTCCTCATTGATGAAGATAAGCTCCAGGGAAGGCTGCCCTTGCTTTTCACCGAGACCTGCAACAGAGGAACAGAGAGAGCCCTTGGGGGAACAACTGAGCTCAGCCCCTGGCTCTCACCACTGCACCTGGAGGAGCTCCTGTAAAAATAAAATCTTCATCCAAACACTCTCAGGTGCTCTCTTGTTGTGGCATTTTATTATTTTGTATTGTACTGATCATGTGCATCTGGCAATTAAAAGACTGTGATACCTACGTGTAATAGACAAGGTTGGACGAAATAATTTTCAGCCTGGAAACTGTAAAGTAAGAGAAAAGAGAGTTTCTTTTCTTTCTAAGCCTTCTTCTTCTGGGAAGGAATGAACAAAATGAACCTTAGAGCTCTTATCAATTTTTTATTGTGGGATTGTCAAGAGAAAACTTCTGAGCCTCTTCTAAATTTCCTGGGCTTTATTCCCAAAGGTTTCCTTCCAACCCTGTAAAATCCTATTGCCAAGAGTTTATGACACACAGCTACAGCAGATGCCCTGATTCAGTATAAATAATTTCCCAACTCCTATTCTTCCATCACTTCTAAAATTTCCTTTGAAAGGAATATCAGAGTACAAAAAGGAATATCAGAGTACAAAGAGTACATATCAGTGGTTTTGGCAGTATAAGTCAGAGAGATCTGACCTGCACAGAATTTCAGTAATATGTATCAACAAGTGAGGTCACTGACAAACAAATGAGCAAAGAGTGAATGCCAATACTGACAAATACCTATGGGCTTGCTTTCCTCAGCAGTGGTGCTGCCTGCAGCTGTGATGGCCTCGCACTCCTCCTCAGCATTCACCAGCTCCTGGAGCACTGCCTCCACGATGGGCATCACCATGGCTGTGCTGGAGGTGTTGGAGAGCCACATGGAGAGCACCGTGGTGCAGCACATAAAGCAGAGCAGCAACCTGGAGTGCAGGGCAGGGAAACACGGGGAGTCAGAGGCGGCAGAAAAAGGAGTAAAAATTTGTAAGCTGTCAAACTCTGAAAGGAAAGGGGTATAAAAAGTGCCCCAAACCAAGGATCTTTTGCCCATGGATGGGAAGATCAGAGTGGATTCAAGCTGCTGCTCCCAGCCTCAGCCTGCCCCAAAGCCAAGGGTTCACTCACATGCCTGGCTTGGCTCCAGCCATCATCACCATGCGCAGGGCGATTCGCTTGTGGAGATTCCACTTTTCTACAGAAGCTGCCACACAAATCACACCCATGAGGAGCAGAGTTGTGTTCTTGAAATATTCAGCAGCCACCTGCATTAAGGGCCAGGGGGGAAGCAGACAGTTAAAAAAGCAGTAAACACACAGAAATCATCCTGAATGAGAAGAAATATAGCATAGTGCATTTTTGCGCCCTCGAGTAAGAATGACAGGGAGCTGGAGAAAATGAAGAATTCATAAATCAAAATATTCTCTTTAATATTTTTCTTGTTGTGTTTACAAATAAGGCTCTATCCCCTGTTGTTTATAGGCCTCTGAGTTTTGAAGAGATCAAGAGAAATGTTATATTTGCAAGCAGGACGTTCAGTGCCTGCAGTGAGTCAGTCATGCTTAGCTAGGCTCAGATGGAAACAAGCACAGAAAAAAGTGGACTGAAGGCAGCTTATTCATGTGCTTCCTCTGTTTTTTTCCTTCTGCAGGTATTGTTTATCTTGCCTATCTTTATTCTGTCTTGTTCAGCTTTTGGGAAAAATGTGGCATCCCTAGAACTTACTGCATTCGAATAAAAGTCCTTTGGGACTTGCTCTTTGAATGCAATAAAAAACGTGTTGGTATATTTCTGCAGTGATTCACAAATCCTGTGTCAAAACTTGTCACATTGGAAATCCATTTCCATTTTATCAGGAAAAGAGGGAAAATTTTCAAGACTAAGAACTTTTATTTAAAGACAATGAGCAAAAACCACCCCTGGCTCAGGAAAATATTCAGACACCACCTCCAAACAGGAATTGTGGATGTGGATCTTGCTAAAATATGAGAAAATATTCTGTGATGAGAAGATATTCTGCAAAAATGGCAAATTAGGCAAACCATAAAATTCTTACTCAAACATACACACATACTTTTGAAAAAAAAAACAAAATGGGAGAAAATAAAAATTACAAAGAGATGCTTGGGGTCTAGCAAAATTTTTCATTTCATTTTTATGAAAACCTTCCTAGGCTGTTGCTGGAATATTTTTCAAAAAATGTAATTTCTTCAGTTTAAAACTAGTTCTCTAATGAAATGTAGGTGCCGGCATTTTAAAACTATTAAAATCAGAGGAAGCAATAATTTTTTCCATTGTCCTCAGTTATACTGATGCTCCTCCATAAAATACAAGAATGACAGTAATGTAATTTTGTAAAATTTGCAACAAGTTATATATCTAATGACATTTATTTAATATATCCCTATGGTGACTTAATAGACTTGGCCATCATAATTGTGTGCCAGAACTTTTAAATATCACTTTTTTTGCTTTCTTCTACTGGTTTCTTTCTCATTAACTTTCTTTATTTTCCTGCTACCTTTTCGAAAAATAATGAGGTGAAGGAAGGAAATCCATCAATCCAGCAGCATGAAGAATCTGGGTTTTTTTCTTCTTTATTCCTTTCATAGACATTTTGGAGAAATAAGTGAATGCTAACTTAATACCAGCATACATATGTATATGACACACTGGTTCATGCTCTTAAGCCCCTGTGAGTAATTTTTGAGCTTAAATAGCAGTAATTTTCTAGCAAGAGTCAATCCAGAACAGCAGATTGGAAATAATGCTCCAGAGTTGTTTACTTTTGCATGCAGGGATTTATTTCAGCTCCTAAAGCAAATAATACATTCCATGCAGTAGTCTTACTGTCACTTTATTTTCTATTGCGTTGAATTTCTCTCAGGCTGACATTAAATTTCCTTCTCCAATGTGCTGCCAAATTTTTAATGAAAATGCCCAACTACTTTACCTTTATGTTAGGAAAAAAAGATTGTGAAAATACTGAATTCTGTTGGTATGAAAATGCATCTCATTTTATTACAAAACTTGGGGGAATAAGCAGTCATTAAACTCTCGGCTCATGCTTTTTTCCATCCATTTATGGGTATTCCCAGAGCTAGATTGTGAGAGAAATCCAACAATTTTATGTTTGCTACATATTCCTCTGCATTCTTATCTGTATTACTCATCCTTAAATCAATTGTGCTGTCCCCTCACTCCCCCAAAAAGAGATAGAAAAAGGCAGGGGGAAAAAAGTTGCAGAGAAAATAAAATAAATTCTTGGCATATAATGAAAGAAATTAACATTCAAAAAAACCTCAAGTAAGCAAATTCAGGACTGATCATAGAAACTTTTCTGTACAGCTACTCCTTTGCCTAAAAACTTTTGGCTGCAGTGCAGCAGTACGTTACAGCTTTGAGAAAAGGCTAGACATCTACCTTGATAACAAAATTATCCAGCCTTTTCCAGTAAATGGTAACTTGTTTTAGCATATGTAGCCTCTTGCCTTATATGGCATCCACAATAAATAAAATTGCAAGGAAACTTGACAGTGAATCCTTTGGCTGCTGCTCACATGGATTTGAGGAGGGCAGATGTGACAGTGTTCACAGGAGTCTGATGATGAGGGATGAGATGAGAATGTGACTCCATGTCTCAGAAGGCTTGATTTATTATTTTATGATATATATTATATTAGAACTATACTAAAAGAATAGAAAAAAGGATTTCATCAGAAGGCTAGCTAAGAATAGAAAAGCAAGAATGATAACAAAGGTTTGTGTCTCGGACAGAGAGTCTGAGCCAGCTGGACTGTGATTGGCCATTAATTAGAAACAGCCAAATGAGATCAATCACAGATGCACCTGTTGCATTCCACAGCAGCAGGTAATCATTGTCTACATTTTGTTCCTGAGGCACCTCAGCTTCTCAGGACAAAAAAACCTTAGGAAAGGATTTTTCATAAAATGTGTCTGTGACAGGCAGAGGTGGGATCCTGTGGTGCAATAGGTATTGGTGATGCAGGAGCTGAAAGGATGGACACCTCTCCTGGCTATTGTAGCCTGTCTCACATCCTACATCTATCATCAGATGAAGAAAAGGCTGGTGGGACCCAGTTGCACCTTACAGGATGAACACTTCTGCCTCCCGTGCCTCCAAGTCTTGCTGCTGCACTAAGATCACCCTTGTTCACATAATTAGCTGAAAGCAAGAACATAAAACGATAAAAACACACAATGGTCTGACCTCACTGGACTTCATGACCCCAAAGAGAGGATACAGGAAGGCAGGAACCAAGGCTGCTGCCCCAAGGGGTACTGCTTCAGAGACCCAGTACACAGCTGTCACCACGAGCACGTAGGCACACGAGGCTTCCTGCAGGGACAAGCACAGAGGATGAGTGTTACTGCTCCACCACATGCTCTGGGGAGCCCTGAGAATTCGCCCTTAGGATTCTTCAGATTGTGGGTACCCTGGTTTAAAAAAAACAAAAAACAAAAAGGAATGCATTGGGTCCTCCAATGGAGCAGTTGTTTGGGTGTGAAATCTTGGCTACCTTCTGAAAGGAGTGAGTCAGAAGACGATGCTAATGAAAGTTTTCACATATAATCCAAAGCAAAGAGTTGGGATAAACCCATTTATCAGCAAAACAATGACATAAAGTGCATTTGCAAATTTGTTTGTTTTCCATAATCCAGTATTTACCAGGCACTTAATCATGACTCCTCAAATTAGACCTTGTGACCTGTTATCTCAGGATATTTGTCCCTCCAGTCCTGGACAAAGACAGGAACTGGTAGTTTTCAGGACTGTGGTGGTGTTCACAGGGGTTCTTGGATGAGGGAAGAGATAAGGATCTGACTCCACGTTTCAGAAGGCTGAATTATTATTTTATGATATATATTACATTAAAACTCTACTAAAAGAATAGAAGAAAGTATTTCATCAGAAGGCTAGCTACGAATAGAATAGGAAGGAATGATAACAAAGGTTTGTGGCTCGGACTCTCTGTCTGAGCCAGCTGGGCTGTGATTGGCCATTAATTACAAACATCCAACATGGGCCAATCACAGATGCACCTGTTGCATTCCACAGCAGCAGATAATCAATGTGTACATTTTGATCCTGAGGCCTCTCAGCTTCTCAGGAGGAAAAATCCTAAAGAAAAGATTTTCCATAAAAGATGTCTGTGACACAGGACCAGATGAGAGCATTCATATTTACCATAAAACTGCCTTGTAATTATTTTGGGAAATGCTCTGGAAACTTGGGGGTTTTTCGTTGTTTTTTTAGTTTGTTCGGGTTTTTTTAAGCAATGTGCAAACACTTTTGTCAGATGATTTTATTTGCTCAGATAATTCCTACAGACCTTTGGAAGAAGACCATAGGCCTGAGGGGTTGGAGGCAATGGCGTTAATCAAACAAATTTGCTGCTGTCCAAGGTTCTGGTTGAAAAAGGCAGGAGAGCATCATGGTGAGCAGTGATGGGGAGCTGGGATATGACAGAGAAAAGTGCTATCTGCTGAATATTCTTACAGGAAAATACAGCTAGTGAATGAAAGTATTCTGGGCCTTTTCTTTAGAAATGTCTTCATTTATGGCTTTCATTGGAGCTCTCCTTAAGCTCAGTTTCTTATACTTAGCAATAGTTTCTTTACTTAAGACCTAGAGATGTCTGCTGGTAATAATTACAGAAATGATCCTCAAGAAAAGGTTTTTCCTTTTCTTTCCCCTTCTCAAATTTGAAGCCAAGTCCTGTACTTGCCTTAACCTACTGTTCTATGGCAGTTAATAAGTGTGCACTGATTTATTCCAGCTATAAATTTATCGGTTCTTCATTTTGCACCAGATGTTCCATGTGAACTTATCAGGCCATATGGAGTCACAGCTCACAATTGTCTATTGTTTAGAAAATTCACCTTTCACAAATGCTATTTGAGTCTCTTAAAATTTTATATATTATACATCCATGCTGGCTGGATGACTTCTAAATACAGCAGCTTTCAAGAGGTCTCACAAGCGATTCTCACAGATCTTTGTGCAAATCAAAGAGGATGTTTTACATTTCACTGTTTTCAAACAGTTTGGTGAACAAGGTGGTAAAGCCTATTGAAATTATACAGGGATGTGGGTTCAATGGAATCAATCAATAGCTTGTATTTAAATTCATCTTTAGAGATGTCATTTTTTCATTACCTCTAAAAAAGAGCCACAATCAGATGTTTTTGGGGTTTTTTTTAAGTACAGCTTACAGTAACAAAAGGCACAACACAGCCCCGAGAGGAAATTAAGATAGATTGATATGTAGTATTTCCTTTACTTGTGCAAGAATTGTAGCCAAAGTTACTCAGAAGCTTGGATTTAAATTAGCTGCCAGTTCTTGCTCTGACTCCTGCTTCAGAAAAGTGTAACATTAAACTGTTATAATTCAACAAAGCTAGGGTGGGTTTATATTGGATATTGGGGAAAATGTCTTCAGTTGCAGGGTGAAATTTAGCTCTGAATTAGCCAACTTGCTGCTCAGTCACGTTTAACTACATTATACCTCAAGGTTAATATTGCACAGAAAGCAGAGCATGGGGCCTCTTTTGTGACCCAGTGACTCCAACACATTTTTAATTTTTAACTCATTAGCTTCTGCTAATGTTTGCATAGGCTCTGTATCAGATTCAGAAGTTCTCTGAGGAGAAAAATAACTTTTAATTAAAGAAGAATCAATGATTTTTCATTTTAGAGCAGTCCAGATTTAAGATCCAAGGGGTATCCAAACCATTTTCTCACTCCAAAACTGTACTTCTCTCTAATTTATTTGAGCAATTATGTCATTTTCTATTACTCCTCTGTGTGTGGCTAAAAAGTGGGCTGGTAGTGAAAATGAAATAGGACAGAGGGAATTTGCATCTCTACCAAAACCTTACTGGGATGGGCACTAAGTCTTTGTGTTTCCTATACACAAGGCTGTACCCATTTTCCTAAAGAAAAAACCCAAATAAATTGCATTTTTAAATGGTACAAAACTGTAACTAAGTATTGGGAAGCCAAGCTTGCTAATCTCCACTAAAAACTTAATCGGCTTGTCTGGCAACTTTATTTATTTTCTCTGCTGGTTTCCAAGAGAAACCATATTAATCTCTTCCATTTAATTAAACTGAGTTTATATATTTAATTAATGGTTACCAGAGCTACTAAGTATTGCACTGAAGCAGTGGCAGTGTAATTTTAACTGTTTCACCCTCCTCATTTGTTGTTTTACAGCTGAAAAATTCTGTTAAACCCACCTCAGAGCTTGAAGCAGGAAAAGGGAAACTTGATGGTTGAGGGACTATCATCTAATTATCTCTCTTCAGTCAGCCCCTTGGGTTAAAATAAGAGCTGAAAGGAATCCATGGCTAAAAACTCCACACTAAGAGTCATGCATAAAACTTCTGTAACTAAAATATCCAAGGATCTCAGAATGATTAAAAGGAAGAATAAATTCTATATGTTGGAAATTTGCCCACTTATTTGCCCATTGCATATCTTGCATGCGGACATGTGGTTAAGCTCTGCAAACAGGTAGTCCAGCCTCTGGGATAATATCTTTGATTTTATGGGACCAGCTGAAATTCCATCCTTCAGCTTGTGTAAATAAAACCAAAGGTGAATGAAAATGAGTGAGTTGTGTCTCTCCAGAGCATGTTCTGTGCTTTAGGGTCCATTCTGCTGATTTGGCACATCAAGGTGCCACCATCCCCTGATACTACATTCTCACGGCTCTGCCAGCAGGTGACTTTCAGGAGTCATCCAAATGTCCTTGACTGGATGCAGGGTGGCTACAACAACAGTGGGCACAGAAAGCCTGTCCCCAGCTGACTGAAATCATGTGGCATTCCTTGTGGTATCTCTGGTGGCTTCATGGCAAAAAAAAAAAAAAAAAAAGTGGATAAAGACTACAAAAAAGAAGCAAAAATACTCACATGTCACTGTAAACAATGAAGGAAATAAGGACAGAATAAAGAAGATCCTCAGTTTGGAAAGCACACACTTTTTTTTTTTACCTGAAAGGCATTTATGTATGTCCAAACATGTGGGACAAGTAAATCATAACTCCAGATGGGGAAAAAGAATTTGAGCAAGTTTTCTCAAATTCATTCTTCACCCATTTCTTTTTACAAAATAATATAAAAGAAGCTGTGGACTTTATTCTCATTAGCAGCATCTACCACCAGTCCTTGTGCTCTCTTTGATCTCTCTTGCCACTACCTATGAAATGCTCCTTTGACTTTACCAGAGATGTGCTGGTATCATCAAAGAAACTGCAAGCTGATTCCCTGCAGAAATGCAAATATAAATGACCTGGTAATTTCAATCTCTATAAAAAAGACAAAAAGCGTAATATAATTGTAAAAATACAAGCATGCGAGCAAGCATCAAATTTAATCTTTATATTTAAAAAGTAATCATAGTCAGTGGGTTGTAACAAAATAAAATCTACACAAAAGCACTTGGATAGTGTACTCTTGGCTGAGTTTAAATGGTGTGGATGTTTTCTTAATAGCACTATAAATATTTGTCCAGCTCTTGGTAAGGTTGCCAGCTGTGCTTTACCCTCTGTGGTCACTCACATATCTACAAAGTGGATGTAAATCTCCCCTGGATGGATTTTCACATCACTTTGTAGCAAAGCAGCACCACGAGGTGCAGAGGAACAGTGCAGAGCAGCTTGTACTGTACAATAGCAATTCCTGCAGCAATCCTGTCAGTGAATTCTTGCTTCAGCAGCTATGCCAGGGAGCATCTCTTCCCATGTCACCCTTCCAGTGGCATCAGGGGAGATTAAACCCCTCTGCAGAACAAGCCTCTGTGAGAGGGTGAGCCTTTCTGTTCCCTGAAGAGCACAATTGTCTGTTATTCATCCCCTCTCTTGAGATAAAAGAGATGAAAAAGCACTGTAAGAGAACAGCCAAGACACATGGAAGTTCAAAGCAGGAAAACTCAAAGTGCAACGCACAGTTCAGTGGTGCAGGAATATTTCCTTGTTATGAATTCTGGTTTATTTTCCAAGCAAAATGTTACGGTTTTGTTTTTGAAATCAGCTATGCAATTTCTAGTCCTTTGCATTTCTATTGGGTAAAGCACCAGCATTCATAAATCCCCTGGTACTTTAAGGAAGAATGAATCTTTAGTAGGGTAGAGGGTGGAATTGGATATTGCTGCACTTTTTGGACAGATTTATGTCTAGGTCTATGAGGAAGAACAAGCTGCAGATTTTTAATACATTGCAGATTTTGATAAATTAAACATCACCACCTCTCTAAGGCAGAAAAATGTTGCTATGGGACACAAAAGAAAATATGGACACTGGAACCTCCAAGGTAAAAAAAGGGAAGTTTAATTTCTGACTCCAACATTTATAGATTGTCAAAAGTGACAGAGGATTGGAGGATGACAGTGTCACCTCTCCAATGACACTGGACAAACTAACAGTCCATCAAAATTCTCCTCCTCCAGAAGAGAATGTAAACCAATAATTATTTACATTAATTATTTACAAAACTGCGTGAGGAAGTTCGTTACAAGAATGTAAACATCAGAGGGCTTAGAAGAACTGAGAAGAACAGGGCAACAGAAAAACATTGCTATTTTATGAGTTAGAAAGAGATCCAACATTTCTGCTTCAAAGCAGTGCTTTTCTAGCTTCACCTGGCTCTGCTTGTGGCACAACTCAAGGTAGCTCTAGCTCTTAGAGGTGGTTTCTCAGTGACCCTCACAGTCCTTCAAAGACGAGTCTTTGATTTTTCTAAGATCTGTGCTTCTTGACATCTTTGTCTTTCCTTCTGCACGCTGCAAACTTAATCAGCAGGACTGCCTGCTGCACTCAGAGGCTTTGTTAAAAAGAAAATGAAAATGTACTTACACTGCTGGGGTATATGAGTGGCAGGGGAAGCAGCAGAAGTGGAATGAGAACAACAAGCAGGAGATTTCTGGATCGGAGGATCTCCTTCATCACTGCCATGCTCCTTCTGGTGCCTTTCTCCTCCTTCAGGTTCTTCTCCGGTTCCTCAGATATTCCAATTTTCATGCCACGTTTTCCTTTACCTGTGCCTGGATTTCCCCCAGAAAACTCTCACAACCTCATCTCCTGTCCCCACAGCCACCTAAAATATCTTTCTTCCTTTATTTATTCTTCAATCTGTTGTTTTGAAAAGGTTTTTCAATTAAAAATACATTCAGTTTAGGTAGGGCTCACCAGCACATCCGAATTATTATCACACCATAGCATGCAGAGGTTTGCAAGTTGGAGCATGGTGATCTTCTGACAAATTTTCTTTTTAATTAAGACTCACAGTTGTAGATGTGTTGTATCCTTATTCCCATGTCTTATAAAGTTTTTTCTTCCATCATCTAGTGGTGTTATTTCCGTTTTCATAAACCAGGCAAGATATGTCTTGAGCTGCTGCTTTTCCTCTTGTTTGATAGTCTGAAAATCTCAAACACAGTTTCTTTTCTTCAGGACGATTACTGAACCAAACAACTTATTTTCCAATGCATAGAAGTAAATTTTCAGGTACTTCTTCTTTAAAGAAAAGACCAAACCCCCCCTCCATTTGCAGGTCCTTCAGATTTTATTTCTTTGCTTCCATTTTGTATCTACCTTTACCCTACTTTTGCCCTGAGCTTGGAATTCACAGGGCAGTAATTCCAACTTGGATTATACTTGATCTCAAGACAAACATTTGTTAAAAAGCTACAGGCAACTCTAACTCACCAATGAGGACTGCAGAAGGTAGAAGTTGCTCCACCCATTGTCCCAAACCCAGTCAGAACATTTGAGAAAATCAACAGCCTTCTGACATTTCTACAAATATATAAAAAGACCCTTTTTTAGGTTGCAGAACAGTTTGTTATTGTTGCAAGGTCTCTGTACTGATGATAAATAAATAATTGTTGTTTTCTGAACAGTATCTTTTGTCTTCGTGTTTCTTCCATCACAACCCTTGAATGTCACTAATTCAAAAGGCATGGGCTGATCTCTGTACTGACTCCTTGCCTTGAGTAACCACAGGGTTCCAAATCAAATTGAGAATTTTTAGACTTTCTGCTCTTGTCTTCTAGGGGGAAAGAAACATTTCTCCAATTCTTCTGTTATTAATGCTTTTTTTTGTGGGGCAGGAAGCACTGGTGATTTAGGTTACATGCACCATCTGTAGACAGACAAATGTATATTTGCCCTGTATCTCATAGGAAGAACACATCTAGGATTTTCCATGCCCCCCAAACTTGCTTGCCTGTCCTCTGCCAGAAATCTAAGACACAATTATTAATTTCAGGGAGAATTCACCCTGCACATCAAATTGCTCTGCAAGGCTGCATTTGCCAGGTTTCCAGGACTCAGGGTCACAGAGGCATCACAGTCCAGTCTGGGGAGCTCAGTTTTTCACTGGAAACCCGGCAAATGCAGCCTTGCAGAGGAGTTTGATGTGCAGGGTGAATTCTTCCTGAAATTAGTAATTGCATCTTAGAGTTCTATACCTCAAACCTTCCATCAAGCAACAGAACCTTGAGACCTTTCAGGTAAATTTAACAACTAGATCTGGAAAGAAAGATATACTTAATGTGAAGATTTTGGGTTGGCCAATACAGCTCAGGATCTCTTTTTTTCAATAGTTTCAGAGAAACTAAGTAAATAACAACAAAAAAAGTCTAAAGTGTTTATATAATGAAAATTTGTTTTATTTTAAATTGAAAAAATATAATCTTACTTCCTATTTTTATGACCCATAAGGTCAAAGGGTGGATAAAATGTACCATTTAGGGGCAATGGTTTTCTAACCTGCCCATAAAGAAGATTCAGTCCAAAGTGATAAGACAAAAATTAAGATAGGCAGAAGACAACCTACAGCTGCATCTTAAGCAATACTGAGGCAGGGAAGTGCCCTAAGCCCAGGGAACTTCCTGAAGGCAGAGTGCTCTTTTCCACTTGAAGCCTGAAAAAAGGAGGCACCCTCATTTCTGTTTATTATCTCCTTGAGAGGGAAGGGCTGTTCCCTCTTCTCTCCAGTACCATTGTTCTCATGTAGAGTTTCACAGTCTGAAATAAGCAATTACTCACGCTGAAGTTGCAAAATAGTAAATCTACTGCTGGAATCAATACAATGCAAAGGCAAGGACTTTTATGTAGAATGTTTTTATTATTACATTGAGAGTTCTCTGTTAAATTAACCTGGGCAGTCCAAGCACTTTCCCAAGGAATAAATCTTTTTCTTACATTACACACAGTAAAAGAAGAAGGGAAACAAACTCATAAAACCTTTATTTTCTGTTGAGGACATAAATGTTTCAGTTACCAATTTGTAAGTATGGTAAGGGATGTATGCCATAGGGAATTATAAAATATTTAAAAATATCTGTAATTCTTTTTTATGGGATATTTTTTGGTTAGTAAACTGTGCTGAGCAGTCCTGTTGTGGGGTGAGAAGCAGGGCTGGGAGGTATTTTTCTGATTGGTGAGACAGCAAGTAATATTTGCTCTAGTTGTCTGATAGCAATTAATACTTGCTCTAGTTCTTGTGATTTTTGCAGATGGGGAGTAGCTGGCTATGAGGCATTTCTGAATTGCCCTGGTTCCATTTATGAATTGCCCTGGTTCCACCACTGCTCTTCCAGCAAGTGGTGTTTCAGGGTGCCAAGAAGCAGAGCTGTAAAGGCAGTGTTGCACTCAGTGGCATTTTCCCTTCATGTGTTCACAAAGCATGGAGGGGGGGAATAAATCACAAGCAGAGCATCAGGGTTAAAGCTGAGGGCTCAGAGGGCACGTGGGCAGGAAAGCAAGGCTGCTCTGGGGCTGCTGAGCTCTGTGTGTGCAAGCAAAGGAGACACAGAGGTTTGGGGCACACAGCTTTGTGCCTGAGGTTTGCAGTTTCCTTTGCCATCTGCCAGACAGGCTTTGAGAATGGCCAACAAAATTCTCCAGGTAAAAAAGTGCACTTCTATATTTGTGTGTCTAAATGAATGTGCACTCTCATACACACAAATCCAGAAACTCCTGGGGGAAACAAGACTGAGTCTGTCTTTTATAAGCCCTTTGTCCAGCTGCTAATGCCATGGCCAGACTGCCCCAAGGCTGCTGTGCCTCCCCAAACCCACAAAATGGGTTTGTTTACCAAACCCAGTGCTCTGACTGCTTGCGCTGTGCTCTGGGTGGATTTTTTCAGCTCCAATCCTTGTGAAACCCCTGTTAAGGGACGCAGAAAAATTAATTCCTTTTGCTCAAGTGATGCAAAAGCAGTTCAACATGATTCAGAACTTGGGCTGGAATCCTTAGGTATGTTTTAGTCTTGGGAATTTGTGATTTGGACCTGCATCCTTAATATATAATGCAATAGAAAAATAGAGAATGGTGATATGAAAGGATGAAATAAATGCTCAGCTATTTTCCCATGGTCTGGAAGAAGAAGCACCTCTAATATCAATAGAAAAACAGAGTTTGTATCTCCTGTGTACAAACATTCAGAGGTTTGATTTAGAAGAGTTTGGATTTTTGATAGCTAGTCACTCTTCTGACAAAATAGATCTCCTTTTTCTGTGCATTTTCCTTTCATGACTTTTTTTGGGAGTTCATTATAATTGGTTGCAGTATTTCTACAGTTTTTCCTTTGCTGGTCCCAAACTCATAATTTGCACCACTGAATTTGTAAATAACCTTTTCTGCCAAGTGGTCAGATGCAATTGTTCACTGACTGAACAATTTGGGATTTTTCTACGTACTGAGCACTCATGTGCACACACATGCATAAACACAAACACACACACACACAAACACAAGGATACTGAAATGAATATACATTTTACTGTTAAAAAAAGAGAGCCACAGTGCCAAATTCAGCACCAGATATGTTTTAATGCACCTTCCTCCCTTGCCTCAGTGGGGTTCTGGAGCATAGGTTTAGGTAACCTACGTTCAAGTGATAGAACCAAGAAAAATGTGTCATTATTAAATTAAATAGGGCTTTTGTCTTGCCATGGATTCCACTGAAAATACATGTTCCTTTCAAAAAAAAAAAAAAAAAAAAAAACCAAAAAAAAAAACCAAAACCAAAAAAACCAAGCAGCAGAAGCAAGTCATGTGCAAATAATGAAAGAATCATTGCAGACTGTTTGGGAGGACAGCTCCAGGAAGCAGGGAATACGTTCACAGGCATTGTTTGCTGCTGGTCTTCACAATGCCCTTTGTCTTCTGAAAATGTTATTGCAATTAAACACTGGCTCAGCCAAATAAAGTGAATCAGAGGGTGCTTATTTATGAGAATATTTGGAATGGATAATATGTGGCATAATTTTTGAAGGCTGAAGGTTATGAAACCTCTTCCTTTTGCAGCAGGCCTTCATGTCTGTGTCATATTCTCTTACTGGCCAGCCAAAACATGAACTTGTTTCCCCAGCTAGGAAAGCAGAACTCTCCAGCATTTACACACCAGCATGTGAGCACAAGCACAGTATATTTATGTATTGCTTATAGGAAACCCAAAGGATGAATCAAGGGTTTGCCTGATCTGTCTGGATGTACACCAAACTGCCTCCTTTTCCTGTCACAGAAGGCGCCTCCAAACCAGCACAAAAATCGAATTCTCAGGACTGAAGACGTTTTTCACCGTTTAGCATGGAACTAGAAAGAGGACTCCACAAGAGGGAGCCAGAAAACGAACAATCTCTCACGAAGCAGGCTATGAAACTCTTTACAGAATAAAGTGGTGGGCGTGCTACGAGGTGTCCTTCACCAGCCAGGGCAGGTGGCTGAGCTGCTGCTCCCCTCCCACTACGAGGGCTGCTTGCTGTATGACAGCATCAAGTCGTTCTTCAGGGCTTTGTAGAGGTTGACAAAGGACTCAGCCCAAGTGTCCTTCTGGTGCCCCTGGGACTGGGCAGCTCTGTAGGCCGTGTAGACCATGGTCAGCACTGTCCTCTCAAAGTCCTCCTTCTTGAGGACCCTGGGGTAGGAGGACAGCCTGCTGCTCAGCCTGCGGATCTCCGGGATGCTCTTGGGGATGATCTCGTTGCAGATGGTGTCAAACTCAGCAGCCTTCCTCAGGGAAGCCAGCTCCTCATCCTTGATGGAGATCCTCTGACCTTTGTCGATGTCAAGCTCAGCTAAAAGAAACTGGTACAAAATCAGAACACAGAAAGCTATTTATTTTCTCCAAGAGACTCTAGACAGAGTACATGCCAATTAACAACATGTCCTTGGGTCTTTAATTTTTGTCAAATGGGGACAGCTGCACTGTCTGGAGGTGGGGGAAACCAGAAAGTTGCTGTGTGCTCCCACCTTTCTAGTGAACTATCACACAGCCTTGGGTTTACTGCTGGGATGAATAAAAGTGACACAAAGTCAGATAATGGATAACCCAATTATGGGCAGTATCCCCAGTCCTGGTTAAGGTTTAAGGAACCATATACAGAACCTCATAAAGCAGGACCACATCTTCCATCGAGTTCTGTAACACGGGGTTCAGAAAGGCAGCTGAGGACCTCTTGAATCTCTGAGAAGCTGGGAAAAGCACAGCTGGAAAACAGCAATGGGAAAAGAGAGGTTCCATAAGGTGCCAGACACTGACAAGAAGCAGCCCTTTTCAACAGCAGAATCAAATAAAAAAATGCCTCTTGCAAAATCTTTCTGTACAGAACGGCCTTTGGCTGTAAATGAAATGTCTGGCAGGAATTGCTTTGGCCTTGCTGACCAAGGATGGAGGTTAGCTGGATCCACAGGGTGCCTAACACAGGGTGCTTTGTTATCCAACCCTGGGACTCTGAGCTGCACCATCAGAGGTGAAAGGAATAATGATAATTGCACCATTAACATTGTCTGAAATATAGGCCCTTTTCCTGGATCTGAAGGGGGAAATCAGTACTGATATTCCACAAAAATTACTTCATTTGGTCCATTCTTGTGGCGGTGTTCACAGGGGTCTTAGGATGAGGAAAGAGCCATAGATCTGATTCCATGTTTCAGAAGGCTTGATTTGTTATTTTATGATATATATTACATTAAAACTATACTAAAAGAATAGAAGAAAAGGTTTCATCAGAAGGTTACCTAAACTAAGAATATAAAGGAATGATAATAAAGGCAGCTGTCTCACACTCTTTGTCCGAGCCAGCTGGGCTGTGATTGGCCATTAATTATAAACATATAAGACAGGCCAATCACAGATGCACCTGTTGCATTCCACAGCAGCAGATAATCATTGTTTACATTTTGTTTCTGAGGCCTCTCAGCTTCTCAGGAGGAAAAATTCTAAAGAAAGGATATTTCATGAAAAGATGTCTGCGACCCTTTCTTCTACTGTCATTCTTCTGAGAGTCTACATTTCTCCCGGTTTCAATTGCCTAAAAGTTGATCTCTCCTTATTTATTAGAGACAGATCCACCAGAGAGTAACCAGCTCATCTGTCCTAGGCATTTGCACTTGGAAGGAGTGACTCACCCAGATGTCTGTGTCACTTCACTGAGCCTGTTACCAGCTTAGACAAGGCAGCTACATCCAGTGAGGTGAATCCCAGCTTAGCGTGGCTTTAGTACTCTGCAGTGTAACTGGAGTGCTAACTGGAAAAAAACAGAGCCTGCTACCATCAGGTATCTGTTCAGCACTGTGAAGTGCACTGCACTGTCACAGGGAAATGAGACAGGAAACAGATGTACAGTCCCTGAACTCAGCACCCCAGTGAAAAACAGCATGTGTGGAAGCAGTGACCTGGACAGTCCAGGGTACAGAAAACATCTGATGCTGCTTTAGAGAAGACCTAAATGCTTTGAGTTATTAACTAGGTTACAAACCATCCATGTACTGTTAAAAAGTCTAAATTACTTTCAGAGCAGAAGGGAAAAAACTCTGTTTAATATTTCATTTGTATATTATTATTTGTATATTATTTAGATTTTGATGTTTGGGTAATCATAATTTGAATTTGTTGGATTTTTTTCTAATATTCAGGAATAGGAAGGGTTTGGTTTTGTAACTTGCGATTATGTGACTGTTGGTATGTTTCCCAAAAACTTCACTTCTCAACTTTAACTCTGTTTGCCAATAGATAAATTTGGAAACCAGTCTAAGTAAAAAAGGAAACAAATTCCCCAAATTCTGATAGGCATTATTCCCCTGTCAAAATTCAGATTTTTTTAGAGTTATGAGTAACACGTAATGTAACATGCAGCTTACTTTGAATTTTTGGAAGGTTTTAACCCACCCTTCCTCTACCAGATTTTTTCCATGAAACATTTTTACTGAATCAATTTTGCCTGGTTTTGCCAAAGTTCTTGTGATGGATTTTGCAAGCTGCCTGTAAAAACCTGAACATCATTTAAAGCTCTCTCTTCTAGGAAAGAGAAGAGAAGAGAAGAGAAGAGAAGAGAAGAGAAGAGAAGAGAAGAGAAGAGAAGAGAAGAGAAGAGAAGAGAAGAGAAGAGA